GAAGCCTGGAATGGTAGCTGCTCACCACACACACAAAAGCCAACAGTGAGGCAATACTGATTGGAACAGAAGTTTGCAATACAGAATCTGCCACAATTGGCTGAAAAAGGAAAATTTGCACAAATCACACAAATATTTTAAGCACATACCTCTCCAAGCACTGTCACCACAACTATGGGAAAGAAAACAAAACACCAAAGAAACAGCATGACATTCAACAGATTAACATCCAAGGACAAGTTAGCAACATAAATTATTAGCTCTCTATCTCCCAAAGCTATGTGTATGTTTTCCCCAAAACACATTCTTTTAGCTAAGATCTTTGTCAACAAAAGCAAGACTTAACCAAGACAAAGGAGCATAGTAGGAGCTTTGGCTAAGCAGAGGAACTTAGCCAAGGACAAAAGGAGTATCAATTCTGCTTATGCTAGGGAGGATCAAGATGCTGTTCAATCTGTATAAAAGTAGAAAATGCACATGCAGATGTCAAGCTGCACACCAAGCTAGTCCAATATTGGGCAGTGCCCTTCTGGGCAAGCAAAACTGCCACTGGGCCTTAAACTCTTATACCTTTACTCACATGAGTGTATATACAGCTTACAGTAATGCTTTGCAAATTAACAAACGCTTATATGAAGCACTTGAAAAACCTTGATGATCAGTGCTTCACAAATAACTTTTATAAATGTACATATTTTTTAGTTCCAAATATCATTAGGTATTACATGATAAGTGAGTACACTGTGATTGAGGTATCAAACATCAAGTAAGAGGCAGTAACTAAACTAGAAATCCTAATCTTCTGACACCTTGTCTGATCTTTTTTACACCATGATGCCACATGCTTATTATGTAGCTGCTTTTTGAGGCTCTCACCTTTATAATTGTGCCCATGGCCATTTGGATTGTTGCATTTCCCAAACAGTTTCAAGTTTTCTTCATCACCCAGAGATTTACTGACCAAAAAAAAAAAAAATCATCATGACACAAGTATCACACTCAAAACTCTTTCTCTGTTACCTCATTTATTATTTGCTCTGGTCTTTTCACAATTTATTTTTACTTTAGCTTACCAAATGGGGAGTTATAAATCACCTCGATTTCATTACAAAGCAATATATCAGAAACCAGTGTATGCTCCCTAATTAGACTACTGTACCATACAAATTAGCATATACAAAACTTTCATTCAACAAGATTCCAACAACTGGTCTGCTAATGGTCCTTCCATTTTTCAATTCATCAAACATTTACTGAATGCCTACAAAGTATTAGGCAGGCACTGAATGAAGCAAGAGCATATAATAATAAACACAAAAACATGCTTGTCCTCAAATGGCATAAAATCTCATTCCTCTCAGAAGCTAAACTACTCATCCAGAAAAAAAAATTTTTTTAAATCTCATTTCTCCTGAAAATAATTACACCACCTTGTAAGTATCCCCTTTAACAACCATGCTTTATTAAGTAACTACTGCCTAATGACAACTTTACCAATCTATTGAGGGATATTCAAATCAATTGAAATTTTATTTTATTTTATTTTGAGACAGAGTCTCACTTTGTTGCCCAGACTAGAGTGAGTGCCACGGCATCAGCCTAGCTCACAGCAACCTCAAACTCTTGGGCTCTAGCAATCCTCCTGCCTCAGCCTCCCTAGTAGCTGGGACTACAGCCATGTGCCACCATGCCTGGCTAATTTTTTCTATATATATATTAGTTGGCCAATCAATTTCTTTCTATTTATAGTAGAGTAGAGACAGGGTATCACTCTAGCTCAGGCTGGTTTCGAACTCCTGACCTTGAGCAATCTGCACCCCCTTGGCCTCCCAGAGACCTAGGATTACAGGCGTGAGCCACCGCGCCCAGCCTGAAATTTTAAATTTACAACACTTAGCTGTAGTTTCAGACAGAAAACAATTTACTTATTGAATTTTTATACCTATTCCCACCCAATCAACTTTGCATCTTCTATGAGGCCTTACTGCCATCGTATGTTTGAGCTTCCTATTATACAACCCTTTCTTTTTGAGATCCTCTTTACTAACCACCCCTCTTTCTCCTGCTCATCCACTTCTTGCATTTAGAGTGCTAAAGTCTTTAGCTCTCTCACTCTACTCTCCACAAACGTGGCCAGATTGTAAACGCCAGACATGATCCATGCTGCATCCATGTTACCTAGCACGAGACCTGATAAGCAAGAAACAAACCCTTGTCCAGTGAATGAACGGATGAATCCTGTTAGACAGAAATGATTATCATCATTTCACAGAGGAGGAAACGAAGGCTCAGAGACTGGAACTTGCAATCGACTCTTCAGTGAGTTCAAGCGGTCTGCGTGCTGGAGGTTCAAATCCCAACTGTGCTGCTTGCACAGGAAAGTTAACATCTGGGGTTCATTTTATCTTTGGTGAAAAGAGGATAAAACTTGCCTTATTGTAATTATGTTTGATACAGTCATTAATGCCCCAGGCATATTATATCAGCTAACATTTATTGAGCGTACCACGTATTGTGTAACCTGGGCAAGTTTACCTCCATTGACCTTCACAGCAACCCTTTGAGCTAAACACCAAGGGCCGAGGCGGGTGGATTGCTCAGGTCAGGAGTTCGAAAACCAGCCTGAGCAAGAGCGAGACCCTGTCTCTACTATAAATAGAAAGAAATTAATTGGCCAACTGGATATGTATAATAAAAAAAAATGCCGCGCATGGTGGCGCATGCCTGTAGTCCCAGCTACTGGGAGGCTAGGCAGGAGGATCGCTGAGCCCAGGAGTTGAGGTTGCTGTGAGCTAGGCTGACGCCACGGCACTCACTCTAGCCTGGGCAACAAAGCGAGACTCTGTCTCAAAAAAAAAAAAACCAAAAACCAAAAAACCACTAAGGGACAAAATCGCTTCTTGTCACTGAGCTGGGAGTGGGCCAGGCCCGCCGCCCTGCGCAGCCGGCGCGGCGAACCACCAAGCTGCACTGCCCCCTCCAGGGCGCGGCCAACTCCAGCCGCCACCGTTATTCTCGTCCGTCGCCCCAGAGGGCGCCCAGCGCGCCCGCGCCGTTCCCTCCGCCGCCCCCGCCCCCGTCCCCACCCCAGGGCTCGCGCGCGCGCACGCAAGCACGCCTCCCGGCCCCGCCCCCGGCGACGTTCCCCGGCGGACAGGCGCCCGCCTCCCGCCTCTGGCACCTGTGGGCGCACCCTACCTGTGCAGCCGGTGGCTCGCGCTGAAGGAGATGCAGCGGGACACTCGGGCCCAGCGGCGCCCGCCGCGCCCCGCCGCGCTCATCTTCTTCCAGGAGCCTCCCGCGCGCCTCTGCCGGCGCCTCCTCCCTCCGCACCTGCGCAGTGCGAGCTTGCGCGCCCCCGGAAGCGCGCTTCTGTTTGGGCTGCGGCCAATCCTGGTCTCGCGAGTCAGTGGCGGGCGTCCCTCACTGCCTGAGTCTCTTCGGATGGCTGGGGTTCCTAAGTTAATTGACCCTGGAGCGGTCACGGTGGCTGGATGCTTAGTGTCCTTGATTTTTATGTCTGCTCAGCCCGCGGTCACGCCACGCGTTTAGGGCCAGTCTGGGCACACTTAGGGTCCTCGAGTGAACTCTTTGAGCCTCCCCTCCTACTCCCTTTTAGAAAGCCCCGGGTTACTTACAACAGAAAGCTCCAGTGTCCGGTCATTCTATGAAGTGAGCCCCAGGGCCACAGTCTACTTACAGCGTAAAAGGAGCAGGAATTTGAGAGCACGAGTAGAACCATGTGGCTTTCAGAAATGAATCTACCTTTGTACTGTTGTGTAATGATTCTTACTAAGGGAAAATTTAAAGCCGTCCTTATCCATAAGCATGCATGTTCCTATTTGTCACTCTGGGTTGGTGTAGTGTGAACATAGGCACCCCTCAACACACGCATTAGCAATTCTCTGGCCAGTGTAGACACCTTGAGAGTGAAAGGATCTTGTTTCTACCATCTACTCAAAAGAGTGTCCAAACTACGTATGGTTCCCAGTACCATGTCAACTTCTTGCTTCCATGTACCTCTTGCTTCCCAGTACCATGAAACCTCTTGCTTCCATTCATTCTTTCATTAAATATTTTTTGGGCATCTACAATGTGACCGGCACTGTTCCAGGCGCTAGGGTGGATAGTTTACATTGCATATGAGAAAAATCAAATGATGAAAAGCAGGACAAGTCAGTATTAATAATGGACTAGGAAGTTTTCTGTATATTTACAAAAGGAAGATAAAAGGATGGAGTGGTAGAAATATAAACCATTATATAAGCTTTCAGCCATTTAGATGTAGCTCCCACTTCACTCATACAATATTTACTGACTTTGTGTTTGGCTTTTTTTTTTTTTTTTTTTGTCTCAGAAGGATTTTTCTTTCTTCTTTTTTTAGTGAAATCTTTGAATCACAGAAGGCTAACTTCTATTACAAGATCCCATAAGGTACTCAAATGGATACATATTGGCAAGGGAGTCCCCATATACATCCCCTTCCAGTCCTTATTCACACACTAAGAAAAAAAATGTTTATCAACAACTAAATGCCAGGAGCACGGATGAATAATAAACACATGGTCCCTGTCTTCACGAAGTTCAATTTAGCAGGGGAGCCAAACTCAGAAATAATATCATGACAAACTAAAAAACAAAACAAATGCTGCTTCAGAAAGTAAAACAAGGCTTCAAAAATGGGATGACCCTTGAGCTGGGGAAAGTTTAACAGGTGGATAAAAAGGGAATTTCAAGAAGAGAAGATAGTGTAAGCAAATGAAATGTAGAAAAGTGCAGCTTGTTTAGTGTATATTGACAAGCTCAGCTACAATGGGGAGACATGGATTGGGGGCCAAATTATGAAAGGGCCTTGAACACTCCGTTAAGTTTAAAGGAAGGAGGCTCTGCCCCCTCCTGGTCTCCTTTCTAGCTCCTCCCCAAGAGAAGGGAATTTTCATCTGCTTGCCTCACATTTCCAGGCATTATTTGGACCTTGTTTACTCACAAGCAGGCTCACAATGGGTTAAAAGTCCCAGACATGGTTGTGGCTTATTCTCTGGTGCTATGCCAGGAAAAAAAAAAAAAAACTGAGCCAAAATTTGTCCCCACCCCTGCCCCACACCAAGAAGGCCTGGCCATCTTATTCACATTCTCTTCTGCTTCTCTCACCCTGCCCCTCACCCCAAGGAGTAAGGCTGCTGCAGGAGCTGCCTACCTGTCTCTCCCTTTTGCCCTCAGTTGTACACCACATACTCTCTTTCCTTAAGTCTCTGGTAAGAGTTGGGCTTAAGGACAGGAATAGACCCAGCCTATGCTTTGAGCTATGGGCATATGCTCAATAAATTTTACCAGAACTTTCTGCATTGGATTACCAGCATATGTGCCTAGATTATAAAATGTCATTGATTCTTTTTTGTCTTTTCCTTCATGAACCTTACAGATAGCAGGGCCAAGGCAAAATTCAGGTATCCTTGGGTCAAAAATCTTACATATTGCTAACCTTTATATGTCTGAACTTCACTCCCTGTGTATTGAGATAAAGATTTATAAACAGAGGAAGGACGTGACAGATCTGTGTGCTTCCCAGCAGTCAACCAGAGTCTCTCCTTCACCCTTTGGATCAAAACAAGATAGATCAAATCTCTGGTCTGAGGAAGTACAATGAATGCCTTTTCAGGAACTTCTGTAAAACACAGGGGGACTTACTTTCTCATGGTTACCTGAGGTGCTGTGCTCCAGCATCTGCTGTATTAGTTCTCTTTCGGCATCTCCCTGTCATTCTAAACCTGCTGCTCTGGTCTGTATCTCATGAACTCAGATATAGAACTTAGCCCTTTTGTTTTACTGCCGCAATGCAAACCCTGGCATTTGTATGTCTGGAACACATCACTAAAGAAGATAGGGTTTTTGACATTTGAAATAACTCTTAAGGAAAATAAGAGTGGAAACTGACTCTGTTGGTCCAGGACTGTGCGAGGAGCCTAACCTCAAGTTCTTAGGTGCCCCAAATGATATCTCTGGGGCCTCTCTCCAGCAACACTCCCCATGCAGAGGAAGCACAGACAGTCCTGGAGTGGAGTTCAGCTGGGGGGAGGGAGTGTAACTGAAGGAAGAGTGAATGAGGGATTTTGAGGGTGTTGGTAAGAGTGTGGTTTAAGTAAAAGAAGAAAAGAGTGTGGTTTGGTAAAAACTGGGTTTTAGAAAACTAGAGATTATGTGGTCTCTAGTGCCACCTGTTGCCCAATTAAATGAAGAACTACTGGCTTTTCACCAATCTCTGAAGGACTGTACACCTGAAGTGCCTGATTTTAGTGATAGCCCTCAAAACGACCACCTACCAAGGTGAGGATGGGGACGGGGTGGGGAGTGGGAGTAGGTGGTCCATAGGAGGGTTGTGCAGCTGTAGTAGCATCTGCCGAGGACAGTAGAGAAACAGCCATTTTGGAAGAAGCCTCCAAACATGATATTGCTGGCGTTCTATCCTCTGAGTACCTTAGGAACCACCAGTAATGGGCAGATTGTGACAAAAAGAACAAGGTGCTCTTCTGATCTATATTCAGAGTCTACTGCCTATGATCATTTGTATTTCTTCTCCTAGGACCTCTGTCACCCACCTGTCTGATGGTGGTAATGACCCAGTTTTACTTTTTCTTTCATGTATTCTTATTATTACCTAGAGGAAGAGATATCCAATAAAAGTAAATTTATTTATTTTTATTTTTTTTAAGCTAGTCAAATTTAGCAGTGGAGGGTTGAATACCAACTTTAGTGACACTAATGTTAATAAGTTCTGATAACCCACTACCATCGGACCAGCCAAAAGTAAATTTAAAACTCAATTCAATAATCCTAGCTCTCTGGGAGGCCAAGGCAGGCAGATTGCTCGAGGTCAGGAGTTCGAAACCAGCCTGAGCAAGAGCAAGACCCCGTCTCTACTATAAATAGAAATAAATTAATTGGCCAACTAACATATATAGAAAAAATTAGCCGGACATGGTGGCACATGCCTGTAGTCCCAGCTACTCGGGAGGCTGAGGCAGAAGGATCGCTTGAGCCCAGGAGTATGAGGTTGCTGTGAGCTATGCTGATGCCATGGCATTCACTCTAGCCTGGGCAACAAAGCAAGACTCTGTCTTAAAAAAAAAACAAAAACACTCAATTCAAAAGGTTGTATCAATACCTTCTTAATGATTTCAAGGAAGAGCCTTAAGAAAAAACAAAACCATAATTATCTCATGAATTCCATTTAATAGAAATTTAACACCAAATGTCTATGGGGCAGTTTGGTGCCATTAGGCAGTAGGGTGCCATTTTTGCTTTCTTTTTGTATAGAGCACTGGTTTTAAACTTAGTTTCCAAGATCTTTTGGTTGTCCTATCAGATGGGTACGAAGGTGCCATGGAACCCATAAGGCATTTGCACAGGTACCTCTGCTCGGCCCAGTTCTTCAAAATTCTTGGCATCCAACACCAAGAGGAAATTGCTTTCATTCTAGAAAAGGAAAGACAACAATGAAAATCCCTTCTTTTTTAAATCAAAAACCTGTCTGTCTCCTCGACTGGGCTGTAAAATTCCTAATGGTGAGGCCATGCCTTGCACATCTTCATATCTACCCCCAGCACCTAGCACAGTGCCTTGCCCATCCACTCACTAAATGT